TGAAAATCCTATTTTTTAAATACAGCAAACAAATGTCTTTGAATTTTGCAAATTTTCCCATCTATGGAAGCTTTATAATATAATCAAAGCTTAGTGATTTCTTCAAATACTTTTTAGTTTATCATCTCTTTCTCCATCAGACCTCAAAGAGACAGTCACTTCTATAATCCACTGGAGTTTGGCTTTTTCATTTATTTCATTTAGCTCTTTAATACACATGAAATTTATTTTGGTTCATGTGAGATAACAATACAAAGCAATTTCCTGTTTCAAACAGCAACACAATCTTTTATACCACTAAGTGGGTGAGTCAACATGTCCTGAAAGATTTGGGTTGCTTTATCTTAAACTTTATTATATCTTTTAGGTTTTATTATCAATTTCTGTAAATATTATCAATCTTTAGAGGTTCAAAAAATTTCCAATAACCATTAATTGGTTGTAGACAATTCATAGAAAAACTCATGATTCATCTTTATTTTGAGTACAACCATATTAATAAATTATATTTCACTTCTTTAAATTGTAATTTTTTTTTGCAGTGCTAAGGATTTGAACCCAAGGCCTCATGTGTGCAAAGCAAATGTTCTCCCACTAAGCCACATCCCCAGCCCCTCTCATTACTTCTTAGTGTGCTTTTTGTTAATCCTCTTGGGCTTTTCTAGATAGGTCATGTCTTTAGAGTACAATGTTCACTTTGCCTCCTGAATATCAAATCACACTTATTAGCTTGGGTTTTACAACCATTACTATGCTGCAAAGGTATTTTTTAGTCTTAGTTTTTTAAGAAAAAAGGCTGCATATGTACTGACAAGAATGTCATCACTGAAAGGCAGTCACATGTCACTTTAGCAGAACAAAGTCATCCATCTAGGGAAGAACCTTTGAAACCATAGCCACCAATCACATCATTTTTATGTAAAAATTAATAAATAAAATTAACTACTCAATTTTTTGGATACACCAGCTATATTTCAAGTGCTTAGTGGCCACTCTGGTTAGTGACTCTCACATTGAGTGGCAGAGACACAGAACATTTCTGTCATCACTGAATGTTCCCGGCAGCCCTGCTGTGGGTGCCTCCACAGGTCACAGACATGTGGGCAGGAAGTACCACTAAGTCCTTCTCTTCTCAGTGGCACCATATTACACCTGAGTCTTGATGGAGAAAGTTAATTGAAATTTAAAATCCCAAACTATGTCTTTTTCACACACACATTTTCCTAAGTGCAGTATTTTCTCTCTACTCCTTTCTGCGTTGATCAACTATTCTTAGAAATCACATCTCCCCATGGCTACAAGTATCAAAACACTAGTAATCCCAAATGTGCACATCAAGCTTTATCCTTTTCCTGAGTTGTAGGATTACATTTTCCCTCTGCCTATTAGACATGGGCTGACCATAGCTATCTCAAATTTATCTGAAATCCAAAATCTCATTAATGTTCTTTTTTCCTCTCCTACCTCAGTTAATGTACTTATTCAATGCTTTATTTAGTCCACACACTGACAGGGTGGTAGTCCCTTGCAGGGCATCCTCTCATTTGGGATTGAGGAAAGCATGGGTGTTGTCTACAACTATGCATGAGCTTGATACTGATAAAGGAGCAGGTATAGGACCACATGGTAAAGACAGGCCAGGAAGAGAGACTGAATGAAGTGGCAGAGAACTGAACAAGGGAAGAGCCCTTTTTTCTCTTCTAAGTTCACAGACAAAGTAGACCCATGGGAAACAAGGAAGTGCCCAAGTGGTGAAAGGCCTCCACGCAGGAGCCACATGTTACTCTCCAGATTAGGCTAGTTCTGCTGCAGGTCATCCTGGCTAGACATGCTCAGGACAAGAGCAAGATCCTGGGCTCCTAAAGCCACCCAGGGGCTGCTGAAGAGCTCAAGCCAGCAAAAGAAGGGGATGTTCCTATAGCAAGCAATACCCTGGACCAAGACAGAAGCTACTGCAAAGTGTTTGGGGCCAGGGGAAAGACTCAGTATGTGATCTCTGGGTCTTTTCCTAGAGCAGCTGGTTTGTGTCTTCTCCACTAGATTATCTGTGCATTGAGGGCAGGGACTGTTCTACTATTCATATCTGTAGCATCATTACCTGGGAAATTACAGAAACTCAATAAACAATCATTAAACAAAGGACAGTCTCTGTCCCTGTATAATATTTTCCCCTGTACTCCAACTACTCAGAGTTATAAAATTACTTTCATGGTTTTCCACTTAATATTGTCATTCCCATCTTAAAAGACACAGTGAATCCATGAGATTGTTAAATTCTTTATCATGGCAAGGAAGACACTATATAACTGGCCTCTACAAGATGACACAAACACATTTTCAGGCAGCCTCCTGCAACCATACCCTAGGCTTAACTGAGGCTTTCAGCAAATTCTTCAGACTTGTCTCCTGTTGTCCCTTCCTCTTCTCTGGGATCCCAAGTTGCCATCATAATCCTCAGAAAACTTCTACTGCTCCATCTCCACTCAGAAAGTCAGAGCATATAAGGAGAAGACATTAATAGAAAAATTCTATGCGTTTCATGATATAAAAAAACTTGCTGTCCATCACAGCAGACCACTTACAGGTCCTGAAGTACCTCTCCCACTTGCTGGCCTTCTTACCTCTCTTCTGTACTATTCCTTCTACCTGCAAATCAGTCCATCTTTTACAACCTATATCAAAACTTTTTACCCTTTCCATTTTTTATTTGCTCTAAATACCTTTCCTACAAGGAAAAATTGACTATAGGTAAGAGAGGAATGCATTTTTCTTTGTGTGTTTTCCTCTTGTATTAATAAAGGTGGATATTTTTACTTGTTTATAGACTCTCACATGTAAATGACTAAAATCTTGTTGCTCCCCTCAAGAAAATGTGCCTGAATGTAGTGTACTAAATCGTTTAATATACACATCACTAAATTCTTTCACTGTGTTTAGTGAATCCACTAAACACATTATCAATAATTATTATCAATAACACTTGTGCATATGTAAGTATGTGTGCATGTGTGGAGAATATGTACACTATGCGAACAGTTATGTAATTAAATTCTGATATAAATTATTTGTACTACTGCTTATGACTTGGCATGGGTGGTTGAAAGGTTACTCCAACTAGATAATGAATACTTGTTTTCCTCATCAGTTCATCCCTAATTTTCTTTAAAACTATGAGTTCCCAGTTTATGCTGGGAAATTTGACAGACTTCAATGATCTCTGCATATGCAGTTCCCCTAAATTCAATTTGTTTTCTCTTGATGCCAAATCTCCTACACTGGTCACATGTCCTCTCATTCATCAATTTTCCTCACTCACTCCCACTTTTATTCACATTGTCCCTTTTCAATTCTTTCAGCTCTTTGATTCAAAGCATGAGCGCTGGGATCCTCTTTGTCTTCCTGTTTGTCTATGCATTTATTTCAAAATGAAAAACAGTAAAAATATAGAAAGTAATTGTAGTTTCCTAAATAAATATTGGTGTGTACATTTAATATATTCAAATTATTATTCTAAGCATTACAAAAATGATGTGCTCAATTTATAACAGTATGGTGGCTTTAGAAATTAAAGGCTACATTGGAAAATAGGAGTTCATTCATAATTTGTGCATGAGCCTTTTCAGCAATATATTGTACAACTTATTTTTAAATTACAGCTATTTTCGATAACTTAAACTTTCTGAGAATGTCTAATTGCATTTTACGTAGATATAAATTCACTATTGTGTACTCAGTTTTATTTTCCCTCTTTTTTATTAGTAAAGACATTAACAATAAAATAAGCTCCCTTGTTCCAGCTGGTAATTTCTCAGTTCTAGTAATATATTATTCCTCTTTTTGTGACATCATAATCATCTATACAGAGCTACCATGTATCTTTGTGTAGAAGCTACTGTTTCCATTAAATTTAATTACCTCCCCCTGTGGTTTTAAATAGAAGTGGCTTCAAAATGAGGGCAGCTTCTATTAAATTTAATTACTTTCTCCTGCTGCTTGCATGGTAAAAGGGAGGTTTCTAAATGAGAGAAGCTTCTAAACTAAAGTATATGGTAACTGTGAGTGAACAGTAACAAAATTGTATCTGAACCACTAGGAAGCCTCTGCCTTTATTCTTTCCCTTATTTTAACTTTTTTGTAGCCTATGATCATAAAAAATGAGCATTAAGATATAAAATATGATTTAAAATCAGTTTTTGTTTCACAAATAAAATGAAGGTAAATATACTATTTATTTACACAAATATTATAAATTATTTCAATGGCTCAATGTCAGAACTTTTAAGACTAGTATCATTTGTTATTTTCTTGATCAAAGGATGATAGGTTTTATTACTCAAATATTTTTAATTTCTAGTAAAAAAATGTTTCTCAATTCTGATCAGATAGATTTAAAGAATGCTTCACAAAAAGTTATTTAAAAGGCATCAAGTCTGGGCAATTTCAGAAAAATATTCTAAAATAGTAATGTTAAGAAACTGAAAAAGGAAAAAAAATCAGGCTCATTACAGACCTCTGTATTTGAAAAGAAGTTAATTACATGGTTTGCAATATTGTGAAAATGTAAATCACTTTAAAAATACTATAGTATAGTCCTATAAAATCTAATAGAAGATGAAAATTTAAATTAAATATTAATTAGGAGGAACTACTTCCCAGTTCAGTCACCATTATACAATGTTTATTTTTTTATAAACAGGCAGAATTTAGATGAACAATATTTCCATTCAATCACACAGTTTAGTATAAATATGAAACAAGACACCCCTTAAGCATTTTAAGTAACAAATTAAACATTTACATTTTTTACTGTGCACTGAGGCTTAACATTTATGCAGCTTCAAAACCAAAGTACAGCCTCAAGGGAAGTCTCTCCACTGACAAATTAATACCTTAGAGAACAGAGCTGAATGGTGGCAATGAACTCATTTGTTCCCCCAATAATGAAGAATGACTTTTTCTTTACCACATCTGTGACTGTTGCTATGGTGACCCAGACTTACCTCACTGCTTCTCGGAGGGCTCCTCGCTCACCAAGAGTCGTATGCTTGATGTCATCAAAATTCTTCTCCAGCTTCTCACAATTCTGCAACACATTAAGGAACTGCATTAATCCTCCAACATCCTGAGAAAAATTACATCCATGCAATTATGTAACACTATAATTGATTATATTGATCATGGACTCGTGAAAATATGCACACCACTTTAATTGGCTAGGATTCATTAAAATCGACAGTTGAGTTCAACAGCAACAAAATAAAAATGCCTCATGATACAGCTGTCATAGAAGCTTTTTTTAATCACTTTTTCACTGTAGATGTAGATAAAAAAGAGAAAATGAGTATTACACACAAGTAGTGAAATTTCTTGAGTTTTGAGAAGTAAAAATTAACCCTCTAAAATAATCTGAAGCATGTCAAAACCAATTTAAATTCAAAGGAGGAAATCAATAAAGTAAGCTTTAAATCACAATGAATGATATATGATAATTATGTAGTCCTAAATAAGTCAGTCTCAGGTAAGATAGAGATAAGGTATAATAATAAAATTTCAAAAAATGTAAATCAAAGTGTATAATCAGATTCTTTGAATAACAACTTATGTGTGATGCTTGTATGCATGTATACATATACATTTAAAGATAAGTAAGAATGATTCTTGAAGTTGTTACATAAAAGTCTTAAGAGTATTTAAACAAGTCATCAATATGCCTAATTTAAACTTCATAAATGTTTCTATTTTCTAGAAAACATAATAATGTCACTGCACTGAATTACTTTTTAAAATGTTATTATAATTCTTAATATGATTGTATTTCTAAAACTGACTTAATCTTATATAACTATACTAAGTTTTAAGACCATAAGATATAGGACTGAATTTCAGACAAAAAATGTAACTATTGAAATTTTTGGCATACTACATTTGTTGTATAATTTAGTAGTGTTTGGGTAACAAAATATTTGGATTTAATATTTTGGTTAACTTTATAATCAAAAAAAGTAATAAAATTTAAGTACTAACATGCTCTTTCTATTCTAAAATAATAAACAAATATCTAGGATCCTAGAAAAAAACAGAACATAGACTAGCAATTTCCAATATATAAGAACTAATTCATTTAAAACCTATTACTATATAATCCATGATTTTTATCTTAGACAAACTAAGGTAAATATCTTTTTAATATCTTTTTTGCAATGCAAATCTTTAAAGTTACCAAAATTGATCTAAATTGAACTCTAGATAAGAAGTTGTTTGTTGGATGTACACATCACAAATATCCTCTTCTGAGTCATGTCTTTCACTTTTTTAGTAGTCTCTTCATGAAGAGAATTTCTGATACTTAATGAGGTCAAATTTATTATGCTTTCTAATTTAAGATTTGTGCTTCTTATGACCTGTGAGAGAATTTTGAGACATTGCTTAAAGTCATGAATTTGATGTTTTTTGATGTTTTTCAGAAGCTTTATAATTTTATATTTCACATATAAGTGAACAGTGCATTTGAAATGAGTTTTACATGGTGTAAATTGTAAATCACATATTATAGGTAATCAATTTAACCAGTACTATTTATTGGAAAGCCCATTTATAACTTAGTTACTTTTTTCCAGAAATTAAATTGCAGTGTGTACAGAATCTATTTGAGAAGTCTATTCTGTTCAACTGGTTGTTTTCCATACTTGGGAAAATGTCATATTACAATTACTTCTCCCCACGCTAAATAAATTCATCTACAAGTAAATATGAAAAGCACAAATAACTTAGTTGAAAACTTAGGGCAAAGGCATTAAAAACATTTTTAAAAGAATATACAAATATCTGATTTAAGAAAATTTCATCAATAAGATGAAATTCATCAATAAGATGTCACTACATATTTTGGAAATGTCTAAAATGAAAATGACATACTATACAGTGTTGCTGTTGTTTTAGTATGATCCAGGGGTACTGCTCCTGGGCATCTACCCAAAGGAACCTAAATCAGGATATGATGGAGACACCTGTACACCAATATGCATTGCAGCACTGTTCCTAAGAGACAAGCTATGGAAACAACCCAGGTGTCCTACAACTGATGAATGGATTAAGAAAATGTGGAATATATTCACAATGGAGTTTTACTCAGCCATAAGGAATAATGACAATATGTGGTTTAAAGGTAAATGGATGCAGTTGGAGGACATTATGTTCAGTGAAGTGATCCAGGCTCAGAAAGACAAAAGCTGCCTTGTTTTCTCTCCTATGTGGAAGATAGATCCAAAAGATAAACATACGTGATCATACACAAACAGATATAGAACATGTTTGTAACAGTGGAACTACTGGAATGTGTTGGAGGGAAGGAGTGAAAGGAAAAGAGAATGATAGTCAACAATATTGTAAAACATAACATCTGCGAAGGTAGAGGATAGAAGCATATGTTTTGGAAGCTGTTGAAAAATGAGGGATGAGAGGTAAAAGGTAAGGGAGAGCAATGGAAGGGGTTGAATTGACCAAAGTAAACTACACCCACAGTGGACACACATTGACAAACCCCTGTGAACATCAACTTGAATATTAGTAATGAAAGACAGGACTGTAAAATAGGTACAGTGTGGGAGGGTACTTGTAGGAGGGGGGAGTGTGAACAAAGGAGATGAAGGTGAGGAAATACGGTTAAGGGACTTCATATACTTATATGAAACAGAACAAAGAAACCTCTTGGAATTGCTTTATGTAGGTCAGGGAGGGGGTTGAGTGGGAGAGACCATGGGGGTGATCTAACCAATGTACATCATATTTTAATTATCATAATGCATCCCTCCTATACAACAAATGTATCCTAATAAAAAGTTAAAAACAATAAAATAATTTTAAAAGTATTTGATACACTGCTGATGGAAGCATAAATTGTAGAATCATTTTGTACATACAATAGCTGAGCATTCATATATACCTACAACCTGGTAAGTTTCACACCTAAGAATAAAGAAACCAGAATGAATGTGTAATATGTTCACCAACAGTCACGTCCAAAAATGTAAACAGTAAATACTATTCAAAATAGCCCCAAACTGCCCCACAACTGATGAATGGTTTAAGAAAATGTTTTATTCATCCATAAAAAAGAATGAAATTTTCTTGTTTGCAGGTGAAATTTTGTTGTTTGCAGGTAAATTGATGGAACTGGAGAACATCATTTTAAGTGAAGTTAGCTGGGTTCAGAAAGCCAAAGGCCACATGTTTTCTCTCCTGTGGAACATAGGCCCAATACAAATACAAGCAATATTATATATTCATAGAAATAGAGAAAGAATGTGTATCTAAAAGTGAGACTGGTAGAGGAGGGCAAAAGAAGGAAAGAATAGTGAATAATAATGAAATTATCACATCTGTGTAGGAGCAAGACCCAAGAAAATGAGCTGAAAACTGTCAAACAACACAGGATTGGGGAAAAAGGGTGAAGAAGTACAGTGGAAAGGCAGTTACATTGATTTAAGCACAATGCATGTACATGTATAATACCAAGGCAAAAATCCCACTGAACATTGAACAGACACCTAAACAACAAAGGACAAAAATGAAAAACACGTCAAGATTGAAAAACAGGGAAGGCACTAATGAAAGGAGGAGGCTAAAGAAGGAAGTAAAGAAGGTGAATGTGGGTGATGTACTTTCTATACAAGAATGAATATAGAATTTTTAAACCTCTTGAAATCATAAAAAGCAGACTAAGGTAGAAAAAAGAAAAAGGGAGGGGCTGAACCAATTCAGGATACAATACATATATACATGGAAATGTCATAATGAAACTCTCCGTGTAGATAGTTTAAACAAACAAAAATGGAGAACAGGAAGGTAAAACAGGTCCTGCCAGGGGGGTGGCACCAGTGGGATGGGGAGAATGTAAGGAAAGGGTGTAGGAGGGTAAATATGGTAAGATTATTATTTACTCATGCGTGAAAATGGGAAAATGAGACCTGTTGAAATTATTCCAAGAATGGAAGAGGGGGAAAGGAGAATGATGGAGTGGGTAAATTTAACTAAGAGGTATTGTAAGCACTTTTGCATATGCTACAATGTAACACCAGTACAATAAGAAACTGATAATAAAACACAAATTTAAAAACAAACAAAATAGCCCCAAACTTGAAACAAGAAAGTTACATATTAACATGGGATATATAAGTAAATTATAATATATTCAAACACTAGAATATATAGCAATGACAATAAATTTCAACTATATGAAGTAAGGTGAATGTATCACCAATAATATTATACAAAAAAGTAACACTCAAAAGATAACACAGTTAAATTACTCCACTTGCATGAAGTTCAAAAATAGGCAAAGCTACAATGAATAACAGAAAAATTAACTTTAGGCAATTTCATTTGCAAGAGCATCAAAAATATAAAATACTTTGGAGTAAATCCAACAAAAGAAACCTAAGACTTACACGCTTATAATTATACCTGTACATGAATTAAGACAACAGTTCTTGAGGTAGTGCTCCTCCAAAAATTGACCTAAATATTCCACACAGTTCCAATCAAAAATCCAAGCTAATATTTTTGTCCAGATTTTGAAAAGCTGATCCCAACATTTATATTAAAATTCAAGGGACTAGCATAGCCAAAACTTCCTAGAAAAATAAGCCATAGGATTCATATTTCCCAATTTCAAAACTTACTATGAAACAACAGTAACAAGACTATACTACTGGCACAAGAATGCAAATACAGACTAGTGAAATAGAATTGAGACTCTGGAAACATACCCTTTGCAGTAAAGTTAGTTTAATTTTGAGAAGGGAACCAAAACAATTACATGAGGGAAAGGAAAGTCTTTTCAACAAATAGTGCTCTAATAGCTAAATACCCACATGCACAAGAATAAAGTCAGATCCCCTGCTTAAAATAATATTGCAAAATCAACTCAAAATAGAGTATAGACATGTATTAAAGCTAAAAATTTTAAACACTAAAAGAAATTTTTCTGAATTTGGATTAAGGAAAGGTTTCACAGACAAAAAAAGGATAAACATCATCAACATTAAGGGACTAGTTAACAGAACACTTTTAACGTGAGAGGTT